AAATAAAAAAAAAGAAACTCATCAGAAAATATTTTTATTTATTGAAGCAATAATTTTTATTGAAATTATTTTTGTCAAATTCCTAAAAGAACTCCGTAATCTCTTTTTATTTGATTTTCTTACCTCATTATTATTAGGGCTATTGTCAAAACAAATTGCTACTGGCATCAGCACATTGGTGTATATTGTAAATAAGGCAATAGGCGCCAAAAGCTAAAACGAAAGCAGAAAAAATTAAGTGTAATTTAAAGAACATTTTTATTGAAAATATGTCATTTATATGCTTAAAAAGCTTATTTTCAGATAGAGCAAAATGCAGATGATTTTTTGCTATTTGTTTGTGTCCATCGTTGTCGTCTACCATTCGTCTGTGGTAGAACTTCTTTTGCCATTACCTGAACCACTGAAACAAATTCGAACTTAACCAAATTTGACATATTGCAATAATGTATCAAGACGTAAAGAATAACTTGGTTTTCTTTGCTCCACTAAAATATATGAGAAAAAAGTAAATAGGTGCATGGTTACATAAGATGAATCAGGGTTTTCTTATCCAAAATTGTCATATGAGTGACACCAAAGTTAGGGGTTCTTATGTGTGCGGGAAATGGAGATTGGGGTGGGATTGCTCTTGATAGAAAAGATTTTTTAAATGGGCTTCTGATGTTAGCAGTGGTGCAATATTGAGAATGTAGCAAAAATGTACTATTTCTTAAAAAAATATTTTTGTACTTCTGCGTACATGTATCTAAACAGATAATTTGTATACTAGTAGTTTAGTTGACCCTTTTTCTGAATTTGTGAAATTTGAAAGCCATTTCATTAAAAAGTTAAATGAAATTAACTTTAGAAAATCTTCATCTTGATCATAAGTATTAAGAAAGCAATGTAGCAACGCACTTTGAAAAAACTGCACAAGGACAATGTCATAGTTAATGCTAATGAAAAGTATTTGAGACTGTTTGCTCTTCGTAAATTTAAATGTCTAATGGGAATTTAGAATTTGAGTACTGCTCTTTGCTTCAAATTTCATACAGTAGATAATACGAAAAAAAAATGCTGCATGGAATATATGTGTTAAGGATTGGTTTTCTATTTGGTTTACAAGATACTTAAGTTTGAAAACATTAAGTTGTTATCATACATACATCACAATCAGCATATGTTAACATGCATTATTTTCATTTTTTTTTTAACTTTTAAACTAAGTATCTCCTTACTGACGGTTCATTGAAAGATACTTCAGTCAGGTCCACAATAAACAATGTCTTGTCCTGTATATGAGTCTTTAGGGACTTTCCTCCTAGATATGGATGGTCATTTTCTATTGTTTTTACAAACGGTGTAAATCTACAAAATCAAATTGTTTTGATCACAAAATTTGTTGTGTGGAATATACATGTAGCACAAAACAACTACTTTGTATCTCAAAACACGTTCAACAATAGATTTTCATCCAAATTTGGAAGTAAAACTAAACTGTTGAGGAATTTCGGTCGCCAGCTTGATGAGATTTCGTGTTACACCATTCAGTCTCTGCCATGCAAACCAATGGTCCATTTGAGCTTTTTGTTTCTAAAGAGATGAACCAAAATTATAAAATAAGGAGCAAAATGTGAATGAGAATAGTTGGTCGCTCGAAAGAGAGAGGTGTATGGTCTACGAAATAGTTAATTTTTAAGTATAATTTCCATGAATTAACTTACACGAGTTTGATTTGGTCCATCTACAGATTCGGTTCTCCACACTTCACAGCCCTGAAGAAGTTAATACAAAGTTAACGTGTAATCTGTTAAACAGAAAAGTTAACTGGAAACTTCCGTATTCATCGAAATAAGAACATACAAGAATGATAAAAAAAAGTTCGATAACTATCTCTATATTTACAAAACCACAACTCAGTTCAGAGTGAAAATTGGTAAATCTAAAGGCATTAACATGTTCTATTAGTAGCAGATGTTAATTAATGTTTGCAACGTGCAATCTGTAAATGACATCAATGTGTATCTGACGTGACTAATCGTAACTTTTGGAACCTTTACGACAACCTCAGTATTTAGCAGACGTCATTGCAACCTCCTTTTTTTACAAACTTTGAAATAAAGGTGCAGAGTCCTCTAGTTTTCGTGGAGTATGATTTAAAACTTTTTGAGATGTAAAAGGATTACCAAAAATATACGAAAGAATGGACTTTCAACTTTGTCCATCTAGTTCTTTAATAAATAGGAAGCGACTCCGTGTTGTATAATTAATTTAACAACCAGTGATGTTAATACTATGGATGTTGCTTTTCCGACCTTTGACGAAGAGGACCAAGTCGATGCGATTGATCTTGTAACACAATGATTGATATAGTTGTATTCGAGCAGGGAATGGCTGTAAAGTTTAATAATCCTATTCATATCTTCTAAATTCCTTTAAAATTGTATATTATAATTTGTAAGTTAATGAAGTCAAGGGACACTGCGAGAACTTCAATCATTAATTGGGTTAACTGTTTTATTGTAGGGAGGGAGGTGATTACAGATTATTTTAATTCTGGTGCCAGTGAAAGTAAGCTTGGGAAAAATAGTCCTTAATTAGCATTTTTTATGAATAAAAGGTTGCCAGGTTACGATGACCGTTCAATAAATAATGATAAATATCGTCTAAAAATAAGAAAAGTACGCTATACATGTATATATTCTTACTAGTTTCAATCAGGCATTAAAACAGTCATTCCCTGTTACCCTTTATACATGTCATAATTCTTTGTATCCATTGACAGAAATCCTCAACAAACTCATCTTTAGGAATACCACAGTGACACAGAAGAATGTCATTTCCCCATGATTTATACAATATTGTACAATTTTCCTTTGGTTGTTTTTATGTGAAATTGGAATATATAGATCTCACAATGGCTGTAATCTTACAAATATTGTTGATTGAAAAAGTACTGTATACTTTCTATTCTTTAAAATCTTTTTATTTCCCTAAGCTTAATCACTGGTGTGTTGTCGGGTACAGGGAAATTACCCTGTGTAAGGGTATTAGGATTTCATTTGCAGGAAATCAACTTATTTTTCCTAAGTGTGATTTAAACATGAAAGTACCAGTGCTAGTCCTTCAATTTGGAGTATGTACGTGAACCATTTGAAATATATGTACTATGGTAAACAAGGGTGAGGCAGGTAGAGTGAGGGCCTGAGTCAGAACTTAAATCCATTCATTCCATGTTGCATTCACTCTTATTGGTACCAAGAGTTCAGTTCCCACCACAGTCACCTGTTGGGGCGCTATCGCACCCGGTCAGTAGGGAGGTCATCCCGGTCCCCAGGTAATGATTTCCTGGATTCCGCCGGGGTATTTACATCTATGTATAAATCGATTGTGACAAATAGTTGCCACAAAATGTTATAATTGTTTTGCAATAAATGTGATTAAAATTTATATCTGTCTTTATTCATTGCGTCTGGGATTAAAGTTTACTTAAGGGAAAAGGAAACTTACGGTAAACTTTTGAATTAAATTAAAATTATCATTTCCAATATTTTTTCTAGTATTGTTATTCAACCTTTAATCAACAAGTTACGAAAATCTTTTGTGACTTTGACTGATAATTCCTTAGTTATTCAAATTGATATGTCAATACCCCCCCCCCCCCATAAAAAAAATCTCAAGCGATGAAATGTCTGGAAGGTGACTCCTTCTCTTTAGACGAATATCAAGATCATTCCCGGTTCAGTTAAATGCGGTCCAAAATTTTCAAATTTCAACAATCTACAAATCAACAATCTGGGTTTCTATACTGGTTCCCATACTGGTTAATAATTTAGAAAGTAATATCAAGGACAAATAGACACTGAAATAAAAGTGGGTAAAACATGGTGCAATGAGGAACCAGATATCAATATTCCGATTGCTCTTCCTCCTTCCTCAATGGTCATTTCCCCATTGTTTTGTGTTTTAGTTAAACCAATAATGGTCAGAAATAGATGCTGATCATAAAAAACACGTGCTTCAAAGTACAAATTTATTGTTTTTGGGCTTTGTCAGGGGACATTGGTTTTCATCGGCGGTAACTGATTTTCCTTCAACAATTGTTATAAAGATTTATTGGTTATAATAATTTGAAAACATCATACCATTCTATCATGCAATAAATACATTTATTAGAGTGAACATTTGGTTAATTAGTTTTGTTAGGTGTATAGTTTATGAAGGGAAAGCATAATATAGATTTTATCTACAATTTATCCAAAGAATTTTCTTCTGATAATAAAAATAAACTTTCATAATTACAAATTGTGTTGTGAACTTTAAGACAAGGGGATCAGCTAACGTGAATATTTCTTCTTAAATTCAGCAGAGGGGATGCTCACTACTTCATGGCCCTGATCCCACCTCCAAACATTTTGAGGTCCGTATTTCCTCTACTCTTATTTTGTATTGTTTTGATCTTGAATATGTTTGTTATCTCCATATGTTTGATGAATCTTTGATCATTTCAAGACAAACATGTTCCCTCTTACCTTTGGTTCTTTAAGTACGCAGGAAGATGTAAAATGATTGATCATTTTGCGAATTGTCCATCCACCACAATGTAAAAAATTAAAAACCAGTCCATAGAAAAAGAAAAAGATGTATCGGGCTTTATATTTCATCTGCAGGAAACATTAAAGAAAAGTGCAAATAAAACAAACACCTGTTTATGACATTTGTAGCATTTATTTGAGGTTTGCTGACCATTAAGATATGACAAAATAACCCACATTGCTCAATCTAGTTTGAATTAATTTTTAGATAAAAACTTACAAAGGTCAAAGTTGACCACCGTTCTTCTTTTGGAAGTTTGCGAAGCTACAAATGAATGAATTTTAGAATGACATATTATGTAATAAAAGATTATATATCTCACATTCTTTTCTTAATAAATTTTCATGAGATGAAAAATACCGTTTTTTAAAATTATGATCGACGTTTTAACATCAACCAAAATTACAGGAAGAAAACAGAATAATACAGACGAAAGTAATTATCAATCTTCAAATTTTCAAATTTAAAGAAAAAAATGTATATTAAATTTTTATTCTAATACATTTTCCAAGTATGTTAACATTTCTTACATCGAAACTAAAAAGCACAATTTAATAGGAGATGGAGTTGTACATTTAAAAAAATGTTTGCATCTAATCCTGAAAAAATCAAATACTCACAATTGGTGGAACATTAACAATATTGATTTCCCTCTGCACGATATCAGAAAGTCCGAATGTGTTTTGTTCCAGTTCATAATTCTCCCTAGCCTTTTCTAGTTTTAGGTTTCTAGATTGGATTTCTTGATCATGTTGTGGCAGCGATGGGGGTTGTACGTGCAGGTTGCCCATTTGCTGAAATAATTTCTTGAGCTGATTGTGACGAAGTAATTTACACCCTTATTTATATCTAAATTCAAATATAAGAATTATACCGGAACGAAGGATGTAATTAATTCACTCTCGGGGGAATCCCGGTCAGTTTATTTTACAGGTATTTTGTAACAATACTTTCATTGAAAATGAGGCCTAAAGAATTTAACACATATTTTTTTCTGGGTAAAAATATTTATATTGGACATTGCAACCTACACTTTAACCGAGATTTTCGACATAAGTTACCTATATTATACGAGGGTTGACCCAAAAAGTCGTAGACAGAGAAAGTAGTTTTGTGTTCCTTTGCCTTATTTAATAATTTCTTTCTTTTTCATAGCAAAGAGTAAAATTTTATGATCATTCATTTCAAGTTTCATGATGATATCACATCTTATAAGAAAGTTATGAAAAAAATAAGAAAGAATATAAGTGTACACCGGCGCACGAAAGCAAGCGTAAATTACGTCTATTATAACGTCATGATCTCTTTGTCTGCTTCACTCGTGGGTATTTTATACATTCAATATTTTTTTTAAGTGATAGACTACTCTTGATTAAGGGACATATTTAAATTCACTACTGTCTTTTTGTTTTTCACTTGTTTCTTTTTTAAAGCAGATTAAAATTTCAGGTTTCGGGGAAAATTTTGTCGAAAGATCGTCTTACATTCTAGGCAGTGAAGTACAAATTGTTTTACGTCGTTCGCCGTCCAGATTGTTCCCAAATATCTGCGTTTATCAAACAGTACTCTACTTCTTACATGCCATAATTAACTATTTTCAGTACAGAGATAAAACTCACATTGAATATCGTGCAATTTAAAAATAACTTCTTTATAAAAATGTGGTGTTTAACGCCACTTCTGTACTCTTTTTTCCCCTCTCTGATGTATATTAACCATATCCAATACAATTTATTAAATCTCCGTGCGTTTGACGACGTCATTTTCATCATATTCAATTTCAATGATACTATGAAAATCATGACACCAATCGTCTGTTTCTAATGATATTTATATGAAATTTTGATATGTTATTAAAAATTTTATTCTGGTTTTAGTGATTCAAAATTGAGTTCAATGTATTACATAGTTTTAAAGATATAAAAGCAAATGTAACAGTTATATGCGTAAATTATTTAGAATTTTGTCCGTGGGACGACAGGCCTTATCGGCCTTCATATAAATCGTCCTAATATTATTAATATGAAATATATGTATTTTAAAATTAACAATTTTAAAGAACATTTACTATATTATGTCTATGCAAAATTTGGTAAGTATTGGTTGCATGTTTAAAAAATCATAAACATTGTCTACGACGTTTTGGGACAACCCTCGTACTTGTCATAACTTGCAAATTCTTTTCATTTTTATAAGTAACTGAAATCGTAATTCAAATGTTATAATAACTTTGTAAAACTAAAAATAATTTCTTCCACCTTCTTGTGACATTATTGATTTATGTCCGGCTTTTATACCCTTATTTATATCTAAACATAGAAATGTAACTGTTAATGAATTCGGTCTTGGAACTTGATTGTTTTCTAAAGAAAACTTAGAATATCTAAAAGAATTTTAACCTTGATTTCATTAAAACTGAAATGAACAATATATGAGCATCCATGTCCTTTCGACGTCCGGTGTTACGCCTTGTTCAAAGATCGCGGGACAAGTTCGATTACGTAAAGTACAGTAACCTTATAGTTATATAAGAAAAATTCCGGTCTATTTATGAAAAGGCTCGGACTTTTTAAGAAAAGGTCTGCATATAATGAAAGGTTTGTTATGCAAATTATCCAGCAAAATAAATAACAAATTGTAAATCTAGTCTTAAAAAAAGTTTGCTATATCCCACGTATTTTTCAAGAAATGATTTTTTTTTTATTTCTGATTGACAATTAAACATCAATCAAATATTTTTGGAATTTATACAGAAGAATACGTAACATAATTTTAAAATTATCGTATAATGTTCCAGTATGTTAACGTTTGCTACATTGAAACTAAATGGCATTTGTCAACAGGCAAATGTGATGTAATAAAAGAAAATATTTGCATCTGATGCTAAAAAAAATCATATACTCACAATTGATGGAGCATTAACAATATTAACTTCCTGTTGTACAATCAGTTAGTCCGATTGTCTTTTGCTCCAGTTGATAATAAATAATAGACGAGCATCTATAAGACATATAACCATGAATGTTACAAAACTGAAATTGACAACAGTTGAGCATCCATGTCCTTTCGACGTCCGGTCTTGCACAATATTTGTTCCGCCTCGTTTAATATTCCCGGAGCAAGTTCGCTAAGGTAAAGTACAGTAGAAGGTCCGGTGTAACAACGAAAAGTACATGTAACCACCGTAGAATATTGACAAGGGATTAATTTTTCTGCGAAGAAATTTTACACCCGCCTCAATATTTGCGTGAAAACTTTTGGAAAAACTTAGCGTCTTTCTTTCCCTTTTTGGGTTTTTTAAAAATGTCCCCGTAGAAATAATGACCTTGTGTCTTTGTTTATATACAAAAAACTGTTTTGCATGAACATTCTTGTTAGGCAAATACACGCAGCCTAGAACCTTAAAGGTTTAACTAACAAAATGTTACGCTACACCGTATTACCTATTCAGTAAAGACTGAACGCACATGTGTTCCACATAATTATTATAAATTCAACACACATTTTCGTTGGCAGAAAATTATTGATTCCAAGGATTTTTTAAATGGTCAGTTTTACATGTAAGCCTTGGAACAGGATTTCAAACTTATAACATGAACGAACTCCTGATTTCGGCTGATGAGCTTCATTAACGTGTACATCCAATGTGCGGTAAACAATATTCATCCACCATATCCATAGCATTTGTATAAGTTCATATGTTACATATTTATATGCAACAGTAGATATTTGTAGTAATTAGTTCATGTATTTCCAAAACCATTCATTAAATACAGTTTATATAGTTTTTACAGGCCGTTTTAGGAAAGATGTGAAATCCTGAATATCTAGGATATACACGTTCTGACAGAAAAATTTATTTAATATATACAGCAGATAAATACTTTAAGACTACATATTATTTAGATCTTTATGCCTACCAAGTGAGAATTTTTATCAAGTGAGAAATTTTGATCGATATTTGTCCTTTGAATAGTACTGTCGTCGTTGTCGTCGTCGTCGTTGTTGACATTTTCGTTTTTGAATAAAGGGCCATGCATGAAAAATGAATGAAATCTTTTATGTAATATTCTCAAAAAAGTGTATTTTTATTAATTGAGTAATGATATAATGTATTATATATTCAAATAATCATGTTTTACACCAAGGACATTACAGCTTATACAATACAATAATAAACTGTAACAATGTAAACAGCATTTCTAGCATACCGAAATAATGACAACTTAGAAATTGATATAATTCTTTTTAGAATTACATTTTTTCATGTCATGAAATTGTACATGGATTTAAAATTACTAAACAGCTTTTTCTGAAACGAAATATGAAAAGAAATACAACGTTTTTGCTAAAGGCATTTTCTTAATACAAATATTCATACTAATTAAAATAACTAAGAGTTAAGTTAAATAGCAACTTGTATAATAAGATTAAGACAAAAATATAATCTAGCGCCTTATGTAACATAACATAGACTTCTGAACTTTCCATTTGATTTCTCTCGACTGGTACCCATAGAAATATTTAGATACAATTCTGTTTAAAAAAAATTATAGGATTAAATAAGGGATACGTGATCTATAAAATCTGATTATAATTTGTTTTTTAAACTTTCTTAAGAATATATCATGCTAATAACTTTGTAAATAGAATTTTCAAAATTACCTCAAATTTCACTGGGAGTTAACATATTGATAAACTATTTTGTATTCATTAATTGCATTTCGAATACAAAGTGAGGGCAATGACGTATGACGTCCAGTTAATGATCATTTGAAATGATTTACAGATTTTGTGTGTAAAATTAAAAAATCTTATTAAACAAAATAATATTTTACATGTGTTCGGAAAAAATTCATAGACTTGCATATCTGCTTTCATTACACTGTACAAATATCTAAATG